AGTTCTACTTCAGTGCAGTTATCACTCCCGACATGACGTACTTAGTGTTTCCTCTACTAGAGTGGCAGCTTGCTCACCGCTAAAAGCCACATTCTGAGGCACTGGGGGTTAGGGTTTACTAATTTTTCTTTGTGAGTGAAGTTCAGCCCGTAACAAAATCATGCAATCTGCGAATACGGTTTTACTTCTCCCTTTCCAGTCTGGATTCCCTTTTTTCTTCCTAGGATAGTCTCTTGCCACCAGCCCCACTGCTATGAGTTCCGGTCCGAAAACCCCTGGTGTGTTTCAGGCGCTAAGCCTCAAAGACTTGCACGTTTTGCTCGTTCAATGACATCCTCTCTCCTCCACCTCCCTTGCTCCCATTAACTTTTCAGTTCAGAAAACCTTTCTTGACTCCCCCGTGGCCTCCAAGGCCCTGTTCGTGTGTTCCTCTTCTGTCCGCAGCCCCTTGTATTTCCCCCGTCACAGCGCTGACCACACTGCCTCGTTTACTCATCTGTCACCAACCTGCAAGTCACCAAGCAGAGACTGCGACTTCTTTGACTTAGCAGGCAAATGCCCAACCATTAGTACAGCAAGGATTAATCCGGGCAATGAAACAAAATTAAAAATTGAGCGTTCTCTCATTATTCTTTATTTGTAGTCTGCCCTTAATTACGCTGGCAATCTTCCCAGGTTTTTTTGTTTGTTTGTTTTTTTCCTTCAATTCGCGAGTGTATCGGTGCACCTCGGCCGCCAGCTCCCTCACAAAGGAAACCGGAGGAATCAGCCAGCGCAAGCAAACAGGGCCGGGACACCTTAAACGGACAAGATGGCGGCCGCCCGTCAGCCGCCACGAGTCTCCACCCACTCAGGGAGGAGGTCTGCGTCATGTGACCCTTCCCTGCCTGGCTCCGCCTCCGGCCGCAGTGCCTGACGGGAGCAGAGCGGCGAACGAGGGCGTCGGCCATTTTGTGTCTGTTTCCTGTGGGACGCGGTGGTGGCCGTTGGGTCGGAAGAGTGAGCGATTTTTGCCTCGTTTTTCCTGTTAGTTTTCTCCCCCTTTCACTTAGTCGGTAGAGCGCAGTTATGGGTCGCAAGAAGAAGAAGCAGCTGAAGCCGTGGTGCTGATATCCTTTGTGGGTTTGAAGTGGAGGCCGAGCGGGGGCGCCGGTTGGTGGTGACTGGGACTGGGAGGCCTTGCTTTGGCCTGTGGCTGAGAGTGTCTGGGGATGTAGGCCTCGAGGTGGGTGGCTTGGTGGCTGGAGCCGGATCTGGGAAGGTTTCGTGGGAACTGAATTCCCTAGGGCGAGAGTCTCTGGCAGTTGTGGATCGTGGGACTCCGTGACTCAGGAGGTTCTTGCTTCGGTGCGAGCGTTGACCTAACCACTGGGAGGCGGCTTGGACCCCTCCACCAAGGACAGTGTCCCCTAAGGATATTCTGCCACATTCTGTTGTTTTGGTGACGATTCAACAAAGGGACTTTCTTCGAGCATAATACGCTGATTGACTCTGGAGGATTAGGGGAGAGCTTCCGGAGTGTGTCACCCACTTTTTCCGTTTAATTGGGGAATCGGTGGTTTAGGGAAGGCTTGTGTTAGTCAACCATGGTTTCTTTCTTTCTTTCTTTCTTTTTTTTTTTTTTTTTTTTTGGCCGGGGGTGGAGTGGGGTGGGGGAGAACTAGCTTCCGCGTCTCACCCGCTGGCGCCTTAATCTTCAAGAAGCGTAAAGGGTGGAGTTTCTTGTGTCTATCACCCAGCTTCGTATGACTGAAAAAAAATGCTTTTTATTTTTTAGTAAAACGTGGCGTCTTTTTAATACTTTTTTCGGGAAGGGCTAAAACCGTTTACGTTAAAGTTGATTTACTTCTGTCTCGTACCTAAAAACGGTTACGGAACTGCATTTGTTTATATAATGGTTGAAAAACGGTCACGAATTTCTTTAATGAGCTTTTAGGAAAGTCTGCCCAGTGAGAGAAAATTTCTCAGTTTTATTAATGTAACTTATCTGTGAGTTTAGATACGTGCCATGGCAACATATTCGTAAGAAGTTGCAAACAACTTTGTGGATCATTCATACGAAATTGTGTCATTCTTACTGTGAGTTTATTCTTGGATCGAAATAAAATAAATATTCCTAAATTCCATATGTTAGGTAGATTTTTAACATTTTGATTATTTTGTTTTCTAGTTAATGAGTTCTGTTTTGAAATCCATTCTTGACATAAACTTGGGGATTTTTTGACATTGAACTGTCCAGTCCACAGCGTGCATTTGTAAATTTTGAAATATTGAACAGAAGTTATTTTACTTAAATCTTTGTAAAATGCGGGGATTTTACAGTAATCTTGCTGATTACTGAGATGTGTTCGTTTAGAGATGGTGAGAGATTATGGGCATAAAGTACCTTCTTGGTTTTAACTGCTCTCATGTTTTAATGTTCCTCTTCCTAGTCTCTTAATATGACAGGTTTTTTTAATAAGCAGTGTCATTTTGTGCTATTTTTGTACCTTAACAATATTGATCAGGTATTGTAATAGAGATTTTGATGATGAGAAGATCCTTATACAGCACCAAAAAGCAAAACATTTTAAATGCCATATATGTCATAAGAAATTGTACACAGGACCTGGCTTAGCTATTCATTGCATGCAGGTAAGGATTTTTTTTCTGTCTTTAACTTTTAACCCCTTGTGTGGAAACAACATGAAAAAAAATTATTTTAACAGTTGTAGGGTTTTGTTTATTGTGAAAGATTAGATATGGTCAGTCAGCTTAAAAAAAAAAACCTGTTTCTTGGCCATTAAGTTAAATAATTGATTTTTTTTTATGTTTGAAGAAAACTTATGTTCATAGTGTTTATCTTTAAGTTATTAATAATTTTTATTTTAGACTGGGGACAAGTTGAGGTCCCAGAGTATCTCCTCAGTTACTTGAGTTAGAGAACAAAGATCAGTGATTTAAATTTTGTGGTCTGACCAGTTCTAATCCCATGAGAATAATACATAATTAGCTACCATTACTCTCTGCCATTGAAGGATTTGTTACAATTTCTTGCCTGAGGATAGGCTTACTTCAGTTATTATTCCTTGGACCTCTTTTGGAAAGGTAATGTGTTTCATTTAATGATGTCTGGGTTTCTTGAGCTTTTCACTACTTAGGTAGGGAGCGCTTTGCAATTTATGTTTTTAAGGATCTAGTAAGTGCCTTTATGTCTTATTCAACGTTATTTCTTCTACTTCGGCCAGTCCTGGTGCTACCTGAATTTTTGCCTAATTGGACCCTAGAGAGAGATGAGATGAGCAAATCCCTATTTATTGGAAACTACTGTTGGTAGGAGGCGGGGAGGTAAATTAAAATAAGATGTTGTTTCCCCTAGTTAAAAAATAAGTTTATTTAAAAAAACAAGTTTATATAGATCCTCTTCAGTTATGTCACTGTAATAATAACTTAATACCCATTCAGAAATATTTTAGGGCCTGCTATGTGCTAGACCCATAACTTTCCACTGTGGCAATCACTAGTTACATGTGACTACTTAAAAGAAAATTTAAAAATTAAAAATTTAAAATTTAATTTCTCCACATTGTAACCACATTTCCAATGCTCAGTCACATGTGGCTGGTGGATGACTTGTATTGGATAGTACTGATACAGAAAGAATATTACAATTTATCACAAAAAATTTCTGTGAGACAGCATTGCGCTAAGACAAGTGCTTTAGGCACTAGGTGTACAGCAGTGAAGGAAACAGTCACCATCATGGAGTTTAGATTTATATTGTGGAAGAAAACACTGCAGTATTTAGTTTGCCTTTTCACGATAAGTGATAGAGAAAGCTAAAACTAGGTAAGAGGCATAGGTAGGGCCACAAGATAGGAAAGACCTGAATGAGAAGCTGACATCTGAACAGATCTGAACGGAAATGAGAGAGAGCTTCCAGAGAACAGCAAATGAAAGACCCTGACATACAGGAGCATTCTTCTATATTGAAAAAGAAAGGGGAGCAATGTGCTTTATATAGAAGGGTTTACTTATTGTAGGCCATTTTCTTTCATTCTGAATGAAATGCAAGGTTGAATAGAGAGAGGTGTAGCATATTCTGGTACCTTTTCTTTTTCTTTTTTTTTTTTTTAAATAAGGATT